GGGGAGAAAAAAAAGAAGGAAAACAAGGAAAACAAGAAAAAAAGGGAAAAGACTTCGAAAAAGAAAAAAAGGAAAGAAACCAAAATAGAAAAAAATATGAAAAATGAGAAACAGACAGAATATAAAAATGAAAAAGTGGAGAAAAGATTCATAAGAAGTAAATAAAAAAGCAAAATTGAAAGAAAAAAGAAAAAAAAAAAGAAAAAGAAAAGGCAAAACTCCACAAGAAAAAAAAAAAAAAAACCCCCACAAGCCCCCCCCCCCCCCCCCCCCCCCCCCCCCCCCAACCTTCCTCCCGACCCCAGCCCAGACCCCACCAGCACCAGCAGCAGAAGTTTGGTCAGTTAATCAGATAACAAAGGGAAGCCTCACCGCTCACATGCCTGATAAATAAAAACATTAAAAAAAAATTTTTAAAGGAAAAAGGATGTACGCATTACCAAGTGCCCCTCCTCTAGACTTTCTCCCTTTCTTGTTCTCCTTTTGCCTTTCTGCCCCTCCTTTTTTACTTTCTGCCCCTCCTTTTGACTTTCTCGTTTTGACTTTCTCCCCCTCCTTTTGAATTTCTCCGTTTGCTTGACGTGTGCGTTAACAAGTCCACATACATTGTATATAATATTATCCCACTGTGCATTTACAAAATTGAAAAGCTGCCATGTCGGAGTTCGGGCCATTGGTTACAATTGGACAGGTATAGACAAAAGACTTGAAAAGTTCGGCAGTTATCTCTCTTCTGCAATTTGTTCATTTGATTTTTTTTTATTTTTTTTTTTCTTTGGAACAATTTTTTAATGTCTTCTCATCATCGTTCTTAACATATTCTTTACTGACGACAACGACTTTAACCCAGGGTGCAGAACGACGCAACATGACGTTTAACACAGACGTAAAGGATTTTTCACCAGGGGTTGGACCGGTTTTACCAGGGGTAAAAACTCTAACAAGGAGTCTACGGACACTTAACGATGGGGAAAGGATAACCACCACCAGTTGCTCTGGTCCTGTCCTTCACTCTTTTTTTTTTTTTTTTCCCACCTCTCTCTCTCTCTCTCTCACACACACACACACACACACACACACACAACAATTGCACAAGTAATTGCACAAAACAAAATTACAAACGCAAAAACTGCCAAAAAGTACGAGTGGCGGGCAGTAGATGTCGTTGTCGTCAAGCGGCTCAAGCCCTCTCCAACACAACCACTGTGTCGCGCACAAGGCAAATCGAACGATTGAGTACGTTTGGAATTTTTGCACGAAGCGCAACTGTCAGATGAACAGTGCTACTTCTGGACTGAAATGGATGGCACGCAGCTCGATTTCAGATCGGTAAAAACGGGTGATTCACAATGTTCACTTGCATGTAATAAGATTTAAAAAAAGAAAAAAGGAAAAAAAAAGAAACAGACATACCTACTGGCCTCGATAAGCGGCAGCGGATCGTTATGCGGCATTTCTCTCACGTTTACCACCTGCAAAACAAATCAAATAAATAAAGGAACAATAATAAATGCCACAAACAATAAAATAAATAAAAATCACCTGTGTTCTCCTTCCCCCATCCCCTTCCCCCCCCTCCCCCCCCCCCCAAAAAAAAATAAAAAAAATGGTAGCAACATCAAAATCCCTCTTCTCCCCTGCCCTTCCCCCTTCCCTCCGGCCCACCCAATCTCACACACACACACACACACACACACACAGTTTACACCAAACCTCCTCTCCCCCCCTCCCCCTTCTTCCCCTACCCTTATATATGACAATCACCCCCTGTCAGACCCCACTTATCTGCGACTGTGCTGAATATTGACTTTCTTGACGTTTGTTCCTTTATCATCAAGACTATTGTTCATGACCATTCAGCAGTACTATTGTTCGTGTTAGTGTATACTTGTCCCACCTGTGATCGGATTCTCTCTCTCTCTCTCTCTCTCTCTCTCTCTCTCTCTCTCTCTCTCTCTCTCTCTCTCTCTCTCTCTGTCATCTGCGTTGTCGTGTCTGCCTTGATCTCACGTGTTGTACTCTGCACATGAACTTGTTGCAGTGTATAACACGCTGAACAGGGGATAAATTTTATTTTAATTTACTAATTAATTATTTTAATAAATTAGACGAAGTTTGCACCCTCGAGACCTGCATTGTCACACAGAAAATGGAACATTTCAACAAAAACTTCTAATGAATTAAAATAAATAAATAAATAAATGAAATAAACTTAATGAATTAAGTCAATGGAAGTAAAACAATTGAAAGGAAATGCAACACGTGGGTGAAACCAGTTGCAGTTCAAATGATGAAAATGAAATGAAATTGAAAGGAAATTAAAAATTATTAAAGGAAATCCAACACGTGGGTGAAAACACCTTCCCGCTCCTCGCCGTTCCACCAGCTTACTGGACTTGCACGTTCTTCCTCGAAACACAATGCCCGGTCATCAAATCTGTGTATCTGGCCTGCAAGTCGCGCTTAACGCACAGCTATAATGCCCGGCCATTGAGTTCAGCGGAAGAAGATCGTCAGAAGCCTGTACGCACTAATTTGCTGCATCGAATCGACTCAAGCTTCTGTTCAGACGGAAGGCCCTCCGTCTGAACATTTTTCAATCGTGTTTAAATTAATTTAAATTTGAAATAATTTAATTTGCGTTCAGTTTTCGTTTACAAGGAATGACCGTCATAATATTTTATGCATTCAAACATTTAAATTTGAAATTTAATTAATTAACCTCTTATGAAAAAAAATCAAAAATTTTAAAAATTGAAATTGAAATGAAAGATGCTGTACGCCAGTGGATCGAATGATGATGCTGTCTCAATTCATCGTTTGCGATCGAGTTTGGTTCACTGGCATCCCGACAACAGGCTGCATATCCATGAAACAGTATGGCTGTACCTCCAAACACGGAACTCGGCAGACACCC